ACATTCATTACCACCGTTTAATTAGTGCCATCAAACACTTCGTGGTTTACAGTGGCTCAATGTGACATTAGTCGAGACTGTTAAACTCATTAGCAAACTCTGATAAGGGCTAAAGGTGAGATAGTTGCCATTTTCAACTGCGAGAAATCGATAGTCCTACAACCAAGCCAGTACGTAGTCATTTTTAAATAGCCTAGCCTATATATTTTAAAGCAAATGTTTTTTATTTTAACTTGAAACGATGACGAAAATAATACTATTAATAATAATAATAACGCTTATTATTATTATTTTCATGAATTTGTCCGTACTTTGAAAACAATGTTATCCTCATAATTTAGTGACAAAGGCCGCAGAGATCGGCTAAATGAGTGAATAAATAACTATTAAAAAAAATCTCATCTCAAAATTGTTGGCAATTTTTGTTAGTGTTGAACCCTGCCAGAGCAAAAGCATTTAACATGAGAAGGAAACCGCTAACAACTCATCCCTTTATAGTTATTCTAATGAGCAGGGTAAATAAAGTCATCACAACAGCAAGGGTCCATTGTGAAGAGAAGTATTATTGAGTAGCTTGTCACTTTACTGTAAGAGCGATGTGTTTCCCACAGCAGCTCTAGCTGTAAATATTTACTTAAGCATTCGACAGTGGGAGTTAAATACGTTCGAGCTGTTTCCATAAGCTGTGTTTGTTATTTCATATATATATATATATATATATATATATATATATATATATATATAAATGAAATTATATATGGTACACAAACATTTTTCTTAGATTTTTTCTGAAGCCTGTAATATGAAATTTAATGGAAAGGTTTGAGCTGTTACAGTATACAAACAATACACAGACTCTGATGGTAAAGCAGCTGCAGCTCCGTGTCCTATGTGTGTTATTAATATTCATATCTCCCCTCATCTGGTGAGGTACTACACCAATGGATTTTGAAGACAATGTGTAGTTGAAGAATTCAATAAACATGATTTTAAATCAAAATATCTATGAAAAATATAAAGTCTAGGTAGGCTAGACTAGATGCACTATTTTGATAACTTTTTAAGCTTTAAAAAAGAAAAAGCATTTAGTTTTGTGGGTGACAAATGAAATAAATGAAAAAATAAATTCCATGTATAGCCAGCCTTACATTTTTTGATGTCATACAAAGTGCACTGTATAATCATTATGGTAACACTTTACAGTAAGGTTCATTAGTTAACATTAGTTAACCTTAGTTAACATGAACAATACTTCTGCAGCATTAATTAATCTTAGTTCGTATTAATTTCAACATTTACTAATACATTATCAAAATAAAAGTTTGTATTTGTTAACATTAGTTAATGCATCGTGAACTAACATGAACAAACAATGAACAACTGGATTTTTTATTAACAAAGATGAATAAATACTGTAACAAAAGTAATGCTCATTGTTAATGCTAGTTAATACATAAATAATGTTAACTAATGAACCTTATTGTAAAGTGTTACCATAATTATATAGCATTTAAAAAAGTTTTAGATTAGCACCTGTGGATTTTATGTATCCTTGTGGCTGTATCATGTAAAAATGTTTAATCGTTTATGCGATTGCACCTCTTTTCTTTCATCCATTATAGCCTTCTGTAGCCTATTTATATTATTGTTTTAAATTTCTACTTGATTTTAAAAAGCGGACATGAAAAACGTGCAATGAACTTACTGTAGGCTTTGTAACTTTAATTTGCACCACTTTTGTTTTACATTAAAAACGTCAATAATTAAACTTCAATTTTAGTTGGTTGATATAATACGGAAACCTGTAACCCCTCTTAAGATTGGAGCGAGGGGCCTATTACATCTGAAGTCGGAAAACGAGAAAGAGAGTTATAAATCATGAAAATGATAAATTATGAACAGAAATGACCTACTGCTGAGCGTGTACATCAAACCATATCTTCAGTCACTTCGCTTCTGTTTCAGTCCATCACTTCCTTTTGCAGTCTCTCCTCAGAGCTGAAACATTGTTCTTGAGTTTAATCATAATGGCATTTTTTTCTCTCCTAGTTCTATGAAACACATCCCGGGGTTATTTGGTTTTAGAGTCTAAACTAAACCAGGGGCGCTTACATTTCTCCAGTGTGGCGTTTGCCTCTTTATTTATGATGTCTTTTCTTCCACCGATGTAGAAAATTTCTGACTTGGATTTTTCACTCCAAAATTGATTTGACACGGATATCCAGTATCCCTTTAAAGATAATCAAACTGAGTCTCTCCTCATTCCGCATATATCCCCACTCACTTTATGACCATATCGAGTTACCGCGAGCCTGTTGTGTACAATAGACATTCTTCAATCTGAAAACATTATTATAGTGTTTATTGCACTGTAAGCGGGGAAAATAACTCATGTTTGTCCTAAACATTTGTTCATAGCAGGCTTTTCAGAGATATACAATGCAAATAATTAATTAAAAAAATTAAAAAAAGTTTATTGTGGCAATGAAATAAGACCCCCCCCCCCCCCCCCCCACACACACACACACACACAAGCACGCAGCCTGAAATGCACGAGCAACCACATGCCAAAGTACAAAGAAACAATTAGTAAACAGTCAGTTGAGCCAAAAGTGGCCTACCGATATGCAAAACTTAAGGAAAATGCATAAAGGTAAACAGGATGATTTTCTTAAATCTGAAAAACTGCCATACACTAACATTTTGCAGCACACACTGATAACATCGCATTCATACTGCGCAAAGCATGCAAAATATTAATGAAATTACTGTCAACGTGTTTTGTCAGGAAACCGAAAATGTGCTTTATGTGGTTACTCTTAAATTAACTGCTTTATGTCATTAAAGCAAGCCATGACTATGATTTATTTAACTTTTAACAGACCTGACTAGGGCAGCAACGAGTTATTATAGGGGTATTTTGTAGTATTTTCTTCAGATAGTGCGGGCTACCTTTACATTTTCACTTTTATATTGTATTTAATGCCTATCCTAAATAACTACTGCGACATTTTCGCTAGTTGACTTTCCCTGAGACAAATTCCAAGTTAATAGGCTCAACTATTACACAACATCACTTTTTCTTTATTATTGTGCGACTTAAATTAGTTCACCTTACAACTTAGTTTTAAAAATGGGAGAAGTTTTAACAGTGCATAAATGAACGCCCCTTTCTCCATCTATTGTCGAAGTTTAAAGTATTATTTTATCTATTATTATTAATGATGAATTATTATTATTATTGCTCAGGCTCATTTTTTGAAAAATTAAGAAAAACAACGGCACGTGTCATTTTAGTTTTTTTAGGCTATACAAAGTCTAAATCAACGCCAACAAAAAACAACCTTTTTCTTCTTCCTCCACTTCTTGTTGTTAAAATGATTTAATAAAATATAATACAAATACTATTAAATAGGCTATTACTAATCTTAATATGGGATTTTATGGGGTTTTCGATAGATAGATAGATAGATAGATACATAGATAGATAGATAGATAGATAGATAGATAGATAGATAGATAGATAGATAGATAGATAGATAGATAGATAGATAGATAGATAGATAGATAGATAGATAGATAGATAGATAGATAGATGAGAAATGTCCGATATTAATTGCAATGATTTCACTTCACTTCACTTTTGATGTTTTGTCCCTCAGGCCAATCCGGCAGAAACGGTCAGATGTCAATTAAAGTCAGTTGTGCGTCTGTGGGCTTCTCTTGTTCTGAGGGCAGCCTGGCCTGTGGCGCACCGCTCGGGCTCCGGGCTCCACTCTCCACGCCGCTGCGCTAATCCGTTTATGAAGCACCTGGGACCGCAATAACATGCGCTTATCCGCCGCCGCCGCGAAACATGCGATAATGCCTACATCCCAGAGGACCAGAGGGGCACTTTATACCCTCTGATTGAACTGTCGACGTCTCTGAGATGACAGCCAGCGTATTTGTCACATTAGTCTAATGGAAATCGGATTCAGGACTTTATATCCCTTCTCTCATTCTTGTTTATACACAGAACTAAGTTTTTTTTTTTTTTTTTTTTTTTTAACTCGGAGTGGGTTCTTCTGTTTGAACAGTTGAACGTGTGATAGTTTTTCTGTTTGATTGATAAGGGGTCACTCTGAATGAACGGGCCCGTTTGACTGACGTGAAGTTCTCAATGAGCTCCTGCAAAGAAAAGGAACTTCAGTGACTGCGGGGAACAGAGGGGGAGCATCTGAATGTGATGAGATGGAGAGAGTGAGAGAGTGTGTGTGTATGTGTGAGAGAGAAATGCAGAGTAATGCAAGAGAATGAGTGGGATGGATGGCTATATTGAATGTCTCTGCGTTATAAATAACGCTTCTTCACAATTGTACTCGTCTCCACAGACAGATTTTACGGCACTCTCGGCGTCATACCCTGCTGAGACCCCCGCAAGCTGCTCCTTTCATTCTGCAGAGACTCTACTGTCCACAAGCATACAATAAATACCTCTGTGCTGTGCAGCTTTTGGGTAACTTAAAAGTTAGGGTTGAAGAGGATTCATGTTTAAATAGCTAGACAAACACGGTTGTGGCAAAAGAACGCAAAATGCATGCGCAACTCTGAAGTGTTCCCCAACTTGTTCCCGAAAGTTTCCCAACTCGTCTCACTACATTTTGGATATCCCCCTTATCTGACCCTTCCATTTCAGGTCGTGTAGTAGCCTCTATTAACGATAATTTGGATAAGGAAGGCATCCAAATTGTCTAAGTTTGGAGGGCTTGAATGGTCGAAAACCACTGATCCAAACCAATGCATTAAAGAAACTGAAATGTTATTGAAATTAAATCATTTTAAGAAAACGTCAGTGTTATCTTCCAGATTGCTCTCAGCATCACAGTTTATGTCTGAGGGTGTTATCAGTGTCACATCCCCTTGAACTCCCGAGGTCATGGCACAAGAAAGTTTCGAGATTTGGACCAATCAGAAGGCTTTCCCAGATCTTTGGACCCTCCCTCCTCGACCAATCACAGTCCTCGATGGGTAGAAGGAGCCAACAACTCAACAACTGATAAAATGTTTCGCCACTGATCACCGTTTCAATTCACAACAACAAGTGTGTCAACAACAACGGAACTGAAGCTCTGAGAATCTTATCTTCCAAACCGCTTTGAGAAAACCTGGATATCCGTGATTAACTTCAGAGGATTGGCAGCGACGTTTTGACTTTTGAAGTTGACTTTTCGTTTTCAACTGAAGACTAGCTATACTTTAACAGTCCACTGACACTTGACGATAAGTGCTTCTCCTTTGGATAAATCCCCTTCTTCTATCAAGTGCTCGTGAACCCGTTTCTTTTCGTGCAGAGGAGATATGACCGCATTAGCGGGGGGCATTTCCAGGATGATGCGCCCCACGCCACCCCAAAACTACCCGAGAGGAGGCTATTCCTTGGAGGGTAAGGTGTTAGCTTCTCAGCCTTGGCTTAGATCTGCATTCACAAAGTTGATTCTTCATAAAACAGATTTGATCTGATGCACTTCAATATTCTGATTGGAGAAAGAAAAGGGACATTATGGGCCTTAATATTGGAAATTACAGTGTAAAAATGTCAACACACTAACATTAAAAACTCGGGTTTAATTCTTTTGTGCTGCCAATGTTACAAAATTGCAGTTTTTCAACCACGTTCAAGCTGCAACAAAACAAAGAACAAACAAGCGAACATTTTATACAGTGATATAAATTTTAGTAGAGTAATGTAATGCAATTTATTAATAGCCTACTTAGCTAACATGTTCTATAAAAACTTTGGGTTACACTTTATTTTAAGGTGTCTTTGTTACACTGTAATACATTTAAGTACTGAGTAATATTAAGTAACATGTAGGCTACTTACTTTAGGGTTTAAGGTTAGTTGCTTGTAAATATGCATAATTTATAGTTATTACTATAGTAATTACATGTTACATATGTAACAATGACACTTTAAAATGAGTGTTTCCAAACTTTGTTTTAGCCTATATAAAATATTGTATATATAAAAGATATAAACTTTACAGCTTTTAGCTACTTTTTAAAAACTTTAAATGTTATGGCAACAAGTAACATTTGCAAATTATTGTTATTAATTGGCTTTTTTTTTTTTTGTTCAAAAGGCCAACAATTTTTTTTGTTAATAGTAGGCTATTTATAAATAATTATCATTTGTTATTAATATACGCAATTAGTTTTATTGTTGTTGTGTATTTGTTTGTTGGCTAATCATAGGAAAGATCATACTTATATTTGGACTTTTAGCACAAGGAAATGGTTGAATACAGTGTCAGTCACTGACTTTTCCTCCTCTTGCTGCAGTCTCCACGCCGTTAGGTCAGGGCCGCGTGAACCAGCTCGGTGGAGTCTTCATAAACGGACGGCCTCTGCCCAATCACATCCGCCACAAGATAGTAGAGATGGCCCATCACGGGATACGACCGTGCGTCATCTCCCGACAGCTGCGCGTCTCGCACGGATGCGTGTCCAAAATTTTATGCAGGTACCAGGAGACCGGATCCATTCGGCCCGGTGCTATTGGTGGCAGTAAACCCAAGGTAGGACATATGTATAGGGCTGAATGGATTATTGACTATATTATACACTTTACATCAGTTTTACATTTAACTGTGCACGGAGTTTTGCAAATAAAGAGTTTTGATTGACTTCAGAACTACCAAATATTTAGTTTTTTTTATGGTTGTGCCCATCGTTTTTTTTAGTATACACAATAAAGGCTAAAATATTTAATAGTTCTCACCTATAAGTTCAGCAAAAAATAAGTCATTTTGTATGGTTCTAATTAGCCAAAAATGCTCTTTATATAAGTTAATTTGTCTGTGAGTCTTTTGAAGCACCAACGCATAGATTATTTATTAAATAATTAGAGAATAAAAAGGCAGGCTATGCCATGGCATGAGTCTGTCAAACTATTTTTTTTAAGTGCAATGCGAATTTACTGTAAATTGTTTTACAAAAGACAATATATTTTTCCCTCGTTTAATGACTGCCAAACAATGAAATAAACATTCTGTTATGAACTTCAAAAAACTAAATAGCCTACAAACCGATTATTTTATCCATACATTCTTGTTCTAATTGTTGCTGGATATTTTAAAAGTGTTTTAGCAAACTATATAGGCTAAGGATATACAAATTAAATAAATGATCGTGTTACCTTTGTAATAAAAGCAGAGCACAACTCCCGATGTGGAAAAGAAAATCGAAGAATACAAGCGAGAGAATCCAGGGATGTTCAGCTGGGAGATTCGGGATAAACTTCTGAAAGATGGAATCTGCGACCGAAATAACGTCCCCTCAGGTACTGAACTTTATCTGGCAATCTCTGCAGTGTAGTTCATGTTTTTAAGATATTGTTTTACCACACCTGTTGCTTAAAAAAAATATAATAATAAAAACACAGATGGCTTGTGACTTTAAAACAGCCCTATAATCTTATATAGCCTATTAAGATTTAAATGCCTCGTGTTAAGGATTTAGATTTACCCATTTACCTTTAGCCTACCAGCGCATTTTCAGACATTTATACATTCAACAAGTGCAATTGTGTGATGTCATTTCATGACGCTTTCCATGCCTCTCCGCAGTGAGCTCCATCAGCCGCATGCTGCGCTGTAAATTTGGTGGAAACGGAGATGAAGATGAGGATGATGATGAAGTGGAAAAAAGGGAGATCGAGGAAAACGAAAGACGAGCCAAACACAGCATCGACGGGATTCTCGGCGACAGATGTAAGTTCTGACGAGTTTTTTTTTTCCTTGCGGATTTGAGATGAGCACGATGCATTTACTAGTTTTAGAACATCTTCTTCTTCTTAAAACCAACAATAATAATAATAACAACACAATCATGCATATTATTATTATTATTAGATGCTAATATAGGCCTGCTTATGTTCGTTTAAGACAGTATTTTATTTTATTTTCTGAAAAAGCTGAGGGGTTTGGAAGTGCGTGAATGTCATAAGCACATTACGGATATTTTTTTATTGATTTATTTTTTTATTTATGTTTTAGTTTGAATCTTTTGCAACCAAATGCTCAATAGATTGTTTTGAAAAATGGCCATTCCCTTCATTGGGCCTATATATATTTTTTGTCTTTCCTTAAACTCATTGAGACTGAATTGTGGAGCATCGGAGATTAACCTCCTAAAACGAGACGTTCCTGGAGTGAAACTGGCCGAATCAGTAAATCAAACATTTGTCCAAGAATAGCGTTCACTAAAAGACGCTCCTGCGGTGCACAATCGGACACTTGAGGATGAACTTGGGAAACAAAAGCGAAAGAGTCCATGAGACTCACGCTTCAGTTTCCCCAGGACAAAGCTCGGCCTAGCAGTAGCTTGGTCCTGACAAAAGACTCCAAGCTTTTCAAAATTTGGAAAGAAAGGAAGAAAAAACGGTCCAACAAAAGGTGGAGAGAGGACATTATGGACGGGCAATGAGAGATGAATTATTCACGAATGACCGTAGCCCCGACTCAGAAGTGTTTTAGACTTCGAGGCCTGAATAATGTGTCCATTTCTAGCTAGATCATGTCACCCTAAAAACGACGTCAACAACATTCGGAGGTTAGGCCTATGCTTAATTTTTAGGATGTTTTAATATTTACCTACATTTAAGCATACAATTAACACTTGTTGATCAGAATGTAGGCTATGAATTTTAAGATCGAGGGCATTTTACAAATAGGCCTACGTTTCACATTTAAATATTTGGATTCAAATAGAATTCCTTGTTCGATTGTTTAAAGTAAAAGCGCTTAATGGGCCTACTACTTTTATTTATTTATTTTTTTACATAATACAGCCAATTTTTTATAGCCTATGGAACAAATAATAGCCTAGCCTAAGGAGTTTGATCTGACCCCCATAGTTCCCAAAGGATGTCAAAACAAATATAGGTTGATGTCTGAAATTGATTCTTTTTGCATATGCTGTTTAACAATCGTTTCAGTAACCATAAAAGCAAGATTACGAGTCCACATGAGAAGGTAACGTTAGGCATATTCATATCAGTTCGCCGCTCTTACGCTTTCCTGTATCAAACGGTATATATCGACAAATCAGAAGTAGCCTACTCTCAGATCATTTGTTAAAAATGCACACATCACATGTAGGCCTATCATAAAAATTTTTTTTTGCTTAAAATGTTGATCGTTTAAAATGCTTTACTGATAGTTGACTGCTAACATTAGCTGTTGGGAGACACGATAACGCCGCGAAAATCGCTGAAAAGTTCACATAGATATAGTAATTCGTTAGATAGGCCCAATTAGCGAATTTAAACTGCATTTTTTCATGGAAACTTAATTAGCAACTCAAACATTATCATAAAAACGTTTTTGTGATTCAAATTTTGCTTGCTTAAAATGCTTTACTCCTAGGCCTAGTTGACCGTTAGCACCACTAACAGTGCTGGTGTTGCAGACACAACAACGCTGCGAAAATCGCTGAAAAATTCGCACAGGTAGTAATTCATTAAATCGGCTTAATTAGCCAATCAAACTGCATTTTTTCAAATGGAAATTTAATTAGTGACACTCAAATGTCAAAACAACGTGTCACAATATCACAAAAATCTTTAACATTCACACAGGCGATAGCCTCGAGGCAAAACCCATTTCCCCAGTTGAAGAAGAAATTGTATGTATTAATTTGGAAATTGATACAGGCAGCGCGTTTTTCTAACCCCCACAGGCCTGAAATTCTTGCGCAGTGGAGTTTGTTCTAGATGTCAAGTGGAGAGAGAAACTGAGCTCTGTGCGCGCTATAGCCGGATTCACCCCGCGTCATGGGCCGCGCTACAATTGGCGCACATTATACTCAGTCATTGCAATGAAAACCTTTTCTAGTAGATTAAATCGAGCCCTTTATTCCTCCCCACTTTCATCTCAGGACAAAAACCCGCCCCCTTCCTCTCCGCCCGGGGCGCGCATTCATTCCTCACTGGCCTTTTCCTTCTCTCTTTTCCAGCACCGCCATCACGAATACAGATCAGTTGGTAATTAGTTTAACAAACGACTGTCGATATGTTGTTGTTGTTTGGAGATGGATGATTGATATGAACTTTTGAAACGCACAACTCTGCACTGTAAAAACCTTGCTGAGTTAAGAAAAACTAGTGAAGTAAACTCAAAGTTGTTTGAGTCATTAGTTCCTCTCCATATTGTTATTGTATTGTATTGTAGCTAGACTGACTTTAGATTGTGCGTTGGCTCAGTTGATATAGGCTAACTACATCTTATTTGCTTTTTTAAAGGTTGAAATGTGTATATAATATTGTTCATTTGTCCTGCTTTATTGTTTCAATGACTTAATCCAGTTAAACAAACTTCTGCAAAAAAAAAGTGTTATCAGGTGTATGGAGTGTTTTTTTAATCACAGATTTGAGCAATGTTGCTGATTTGATAAGGGTTTGTTGCCAGCTCCCAACATGCATTTTTAAGCATGGTTGTTTGTGATTGTCACAGTTTTGCTATTTGCAGACACTTAATCCAACCTTTACTTGGCAGAAATCATTGTGATAAGTCAAAACATCTTGTTAGACCTTTTTTTTTAACAATGTAGCAGAGCTATTTTTCACGAAACTCTTTAGGGATAAAGCATTAGAAGCTTTTTGTGTTGTATTTGCATGCATTTAAACCTGGACTTGCAACACAGTTAGTTAGATGTCTATATCTGCATTGAAAAAAAGAAAGAAAGAAAGAACAAAACAGTGAATGAAAGAAAGGAAGCGCAAGGGGAAAGGAGAAAGGAAAACAGCCTTTTCAAAGCCCCGTTAATGTTTTTGTTTTCCTAGAAGGATCAATCACCTCTGGCTTTTATTCACATGTAGATGTGTCTACATCATAAAACTCAATGAGTCCTGATCTCCATTGACACACTGTAAACTTCTCCTCTCTCCATTCACTCTCGTCCGTTTGTTTGCAGTGGGCTGATTCTGCGCTGGCTGTATTTCACTCTCTCCTCCCTGCTTGTGGGAGTTGTTGTTTTTTCCTATTCGGTACTCAGTTAAAATCTCAAAAGGGTGTTTTCAGAATCAAGAGGGTGTTCTCTAGCCAAATATTGATTAAGTACGTGTTTGCTGAGTCTATAGTTGTCGGGTAAGAGGGGTGTGTTGGATCTGGGCCCCTGCTCCTTCAAAACCTATTGTTGGGCCCCTTAAAGGCTTGAGATCAAAGCAAAGACCCCTTCAGATTTATTTGTCTGGGAAAAGGCAGAGTTGAGGACCATTGCTTACTAATACATGGATTGAGCATACACTTTAAAAGATGTTTCTCAAAAGTTGTTTGACCAGGAGGCTCAGAGCAAACATTTAGATTTTTGTGATTTTTAAATTATTTTAAAAATGTTTACGCTTTTTTTTAAATGTTGAAATAAGTCTCTTATGCTCAGCATGTCTTCTTTTATTTGATCCAAAAAAATCTGTAAAAACAGAAATATTATTACAATTTTAAATAACTGTTTTCTATTTAATTATATTTAAAAATGTAATTTATTCCTGTGACGCAAAGCTGAATTTTCAGCATCTTTACTCCAGTCTTAAGTCACATGATCAGTTAGAAATCATTCTATTTATTAAAAAATATATATATAAAATCATGTTTTTCGTAAGTTGGAATCCCCCCCCCTAAAATGATTGGATCAGTCTGGGCTCCTCTTGTTTAGGTTAAAAATATTATAATGACTTCAGTTAACAAAACGAAAGCTAAGACGTTCCAAAGACAGTTTTTAAGAACGTCAAGGGCCGGTTCTAGTGCCTGGCGTCATAAGTGAATCGATAAAACTTCTCCCACAATGCTGTGTTTGCCTGAGCACATCCCCTCCTTTTTCCTATACCATTAACTTTGGGAAAACTGACAATCCTCGAGCCTCATTTAGCTAATTAAAAGTAACTAAAGTCATCAAAGAGCCACGGCCCCTCTCTCACAGATTCTCATTCACGGCAGGCGAAAAAGAAAACTCAGAAATACAAACAGTCAAAGGGATCAAGTTTTTTTGAAAGGGAGTCCCGTGGAGGCCAATTGAATGAGCTTAGTGCTTTCAGACGTGCCATGGTGAACGCAGTCAACATGTAATAATTAGTTTCATTGAGCTGCATTCCAACAATCTGCTGCTTTTCTCCTGGGCTCATTGTCTCCCAGCAGGCCAATAGCCAGGAGGACAGAGAGAATCAAGCAATGACAACACATGAAAGATTCAGCTGCCTTTGTCCCAGAAAGCAAGGAGGACTTTGTTTGTGTAAATAAAATAGGGCTTTTGCCTGCTTTGCTGACTGGATACTTGCTCAATAGAAAAGGGGGGGAGATTGAGGAGAGAGAGCAAAAAGATGCACGGCAAAAACAGACAGCTGTGTCACACAATAACAAACAGATATTTTTGGGACGATTTCTTTTTTTCGCAACCACAATTGTTCTCGGAGCTGTAAAGCCAGATGTATTTGCCCAATACTGGACCACAGATGGGCAACTATAGCCATATCTGGCTCGTCGGGGTCTAATTTTATACATTCTTTTGAGATCTGCCTCTTCGATCAATAAACAAGGGTTCTTCTCTCTCTGCTGGAATGTTCCTCAGTCATGATTCCGGGGCCCTGCGGGAATGGAGATGAGCAATCATCTGCCTTTTATTCAGCAGCTCCTTGAAACCTAACAAGCTTCGCCCTTCTCCCTCCTCGAGTTTATCGAGGTTACGGATCGCACAAAGTTATCCGAACATCAATCGAGGT